GCACCTCCTCGCGACAGGGTAATACTCATGGTATATCGCCGTAAAACGTAAACAGTTCCGTACAGTACCGTAAAACAGTCATTACCTATAGTTTCCGTAATTGGGGTCTCACCGAAGTTCGAGGATAGTGTCATTTTTCAGTGTTTCATCACCTTCTAGAGAGATATCCCAAGGAAATGACGTGGGAACATGGCAAGATGATCGGGCTAAGAGCAAAGTCACCTGGTTTCAAGCTAGACCCTTTCTAAATCAAAATATTCTACTCGGAAAACAAATCTATGAATTTAACTATAGATAAATCAGTTGCGAGCACACCTCCTTTCGCCAATGAGTACAGAATGAGAAAAATAGTCCGTTTCTCTCAAGAGCCATCAGGGGGATAAAACTGGAACCGTACGATCGTGAATGTGCAGATAACCCCGAACACCTGTACCAGAAACCAAATATTAACGGAAATCGGTGACAGAATATCACGAAGAATACACTGTATATGCAAAATCTCTAGGTAAAAAGCAGACCGTTGCGAGTAAAGGCCGGGTGGCATGAAAGAGTCCAGCTCCGCTAAGAGCGATCCTCGTCGTCTGCAGCTTCTCCAACAGTAGATGCAAATACTGATCAAGGAGTTTCCTTTGTTAAAGTTTCAGCTTGCCGTGCCGGCATAAAAAAGAATTGTAAAACCTGGATTGCCTTACAGTGTTGTTAGGTTCTAGCTTAAGTTGGGAATGTATCCAAGAGGCAGGGCGGTGGGCCTCGTCGTGGACCTTCACCAGACCGTAGGTCACCAGGAGGATTCGGCTCGTGTGAAACAGCAATTTCCACACGTTCCGTGGCGGAATATGTTGAACGCAGACGATGCGAAGGATGACGTCGACCAGATATGAGATAGAATCTGGGTAAACCCAAAGGATCAACGGGGACAATATATCCTGGGTCATATTCACTAGTTCCATCAGCTCTAAGTGCATGGCGTACGCCTGAAAAAAAGAGCTGATAATAATGATTTTAATCAGATTCAGAATAGTGAATGGCAAGTATTCTCACTTGATGGGGTGGAATCTTTCCATTCATCAAGATGAAGTTGAAGTGTCGGAACTTCATGGCGAGAGGAAAGGAAAGGAAAAAGATGAAGGCCGATGACAAGATCCAGTAGAAAGGGAGATAATATTGATCCAAGTAAACCGATGTCATGAGCAACCAAGATGGCAGCCCTAAAAAATCAAAATGGACAGCTATTAATTTGTATTTGGGTAGTTGGGAATCAAAATAAAGAAGGGACGAATTTACTTTCATTCCCAGACGTGATTTTCGCTTTGAACCAGAAGCCGGTGCTTCTGACACGTTCAAATCCTGCCCACAACTCGACCACAGTCACGTGCCCAAAGAATAATATGCACATGAAGATGCTCGCCGCTTGCATCTGTTTGTAGTCATTGAGGCCAAGAAGGTATGACGCAACTTAACAGGTGAGAAAACTGATCAAGAAGGGACTTACGTAGAAAGGTCGAGGATGGAGACCATAACCAGCAAGTTTACCTTCGAAATCCCGATGGGATCGAACCAGACTCCGAAGGTCGGGAGTCCTGTAGGCCGATACGTAGAAGAAGCAAGCGTCAGAGAGGCAGGATAAGATCTCCATTGCAAAGCGGAAGATCTCATTCTGACGATCAGGAACAGGTATTTGGGAGAAACGGGCGGCATTGACGAAGAGAATGATAAGGATGGAGAAAGTGATGACAAGGGTGGCCAAGAGACGGAAGAGCCAGGCTCCCAATCCCTCCCGATCGCCTTCCAGGTTCAATCGAAGTCGGGGGAATGCGAGAAGCAGCTTCCCAAATCCTATAATTGGTTTCAGCCCAGATTCCAAATCTGAGCATGGTGGTGGCTTCTCTTTTTCGTAGGCTGACGTCGACTTGCCTTGCATCCTCGCCGATCAGATGCGATGTAACAAGGGCAATCGATGGAAGGTTCTGCTAATGCAAAATACCAATGCAGAAGACGGACAATAGAAATAGTTCAAGTAGAAGTGTCGTACAAAAAATTAATAGTAAAAAGAGGAAACCACTCATTCTTTTGACATACTCTTCTCTTCAGGTCTGCAATTGACAATAAACTAATGATCGTTACTTTTTGCATTGCCCTACAAACGCCATAACAAAGCTTTCACGGCGACGTCATCCAAAAACTTCAAATTCGCAACAGTACCTGATAGAAAAAAGACTTCTATAGTAAAATATGGGTAGAAATGAAAAACATTTGAAAACAGGTTTACACATTAATTCATTTTACCGTTTAATGATGAGCTCCACTGCCGGGAATCAACTTAGAATCGAGCAAACAAATCAGATCTGATCAACCAACGAATATATGAACCGAATTCCTCACTTGTGAAGACGATGAGCGCAAGAAAGGAACGATCGGCGAGGCCTGGAGCTCAGACAACCTCGTTCCTCGGGAAAATCTTTATTCAATTCGAAACGCGTGCAATTTCATATTTAATTCAACAGCACCTTAATATTTAATTCAACAGCATCTTAATATTTAATTCAACAGCATCCATTCACTTCACTCCATGCAGCGAAGGGGTGCGACAGCGTTGGAGGCAATGCCGAATAGTCTGCGCTTACGTCAGCAATTTTATCTGCAGCTGCACTCCATTAGGTGGAGGTGAGCGAAGAGACAATGGAGAATTGACAAGAATGATGTGCTCATGTTTCTTGCAAGACTTCTCAATACAGCCTACAACTCAATTTATTCATGCTGACGCGTCTTCGCTCGATGCATTAGCCGTAAAACATTTATAAACTCATGATAATGGCCGCCAACCGTAAAAAAGGCTTGTTGTATGATGAGATGGAAACCGTAATTGGGAGTTCCAGGAACGTATCAGTAATATGTCGATCTGGAATAGGAATAGGTTCGGACTTTTTTTTTTTTTACAATTCTCATAACTGATATGATCTCGAAAAGTACTTCCGATAGAGAAGTCTTCTTGTTGCTGCTCTGAAGCAAAAATTCAGAACCGATTTCGAAAGGAGACAGTGATGACCTGATCTCTCCAAATATGAGAGAATTATAGCGAGAATTGAGAAGTTTGTCAAACTATCATAAAAGAGAAAGTAGTAACGGTGAAATACTAAGCGAAACTTTCCTCAGGAATATTTGCTGTGTACACTCTCGATTTAGCATTTAGGACAACATTTCTGGACAAAAATGCTGAAGGAAGTACAAGAAACGTCAAAAAGAGCATTCACGCCCCAATAACTCAATGCATCAAAAAGCAACCTAAATGGCTGCCACAAAAAAAAATGTACACCAATGGACTTTTTCCCCCAGGCGGTATTCCATTACTGGGAGCCAAGCACTGAGTACCTAGAACTGTTATGAAAGTGCTTCGTAACCGTGCAGAAACGATGTAAGCAAGTGAGGAGGAAATTCGTTCTACCGTGAGGATGTGTACAAGTATTTCTCCATTGTCGCAAAGTCGCTAAGTATTATTTACCTGATGACGTTTAACGCTCGACTGAATCCAGACATAACAAGCTGAGGTTTCATTCTTTTAGCAAGTGATTTCGAGCCAGCTAAGGAGATGACAGCGGTTGTAATAGATAATTAAACAAGTGTATGATCAATATTCAATTTATTGTGTATTCCTACTACGTAAACCCGTCTAGGTTTCAAAGGCAAGAGTTCTTCTTCCGCCCTAACCAAAATTCTATTAAAAAGAAAACCCACATCTAGAGCGACGTAAAAAGACGACATATTCTGCTCCTTTGAAATCATTACCAGCAATATCTATTGGGTTGGAAAGAAAGTCTTGCAACACTCTGCGCAAATTTTTCAAAATGTAATACCTTTATTGAAATTCAATTTCAGTCTACAATATAATGACCATTGTTGTCTATGACATGTTCCCAACGCACGGGTAACTGCTCGATGCCCTTTGCCCAGAACTCTGGCGATTGCAAAGCGAAGAAACGGCCGACATCATTTTCGAGCTGTGCTCGATCGTNGAAAGGACCTTCTGAAGGAAATCGTTACTGGAGATGAGAGCTGGGTCCTCTACGTCGACCATACTCGCAAGAGTCAGTGGCTTCCACGAGGAGAATTGCCGCCACACGAACCGAAACCAGGGTTCCACGAGAAGAAGGTTCTTCTCTGCTGTCGGTGGGGTTCAGAAGCATATTGTACTATGAGCTCCTGCCAACCGGTACCACCGTGACTGCCGTCGTCTACGCTGCTCAACTTCAGAAGTTGGCTGGCGTCATTCAAAAAGAGCGTCCCATACGCGACAAAGTTCTCCTTCTGCATGACAACGCTCGCCCACGTGTTGCGAAGATGACTCGCCAGACGATTTCGGAACCGGGCTGGGAAGTTTTACCCCATCCAGCGTATTCTCCGGACTTGGCCCCTTCCGACTATCACTTGTTCCGGGCCCTCAAGAATCACCTGCGGGACAAGGTCTTCGACGATCGAGCACAGCTCGAAAATGATGTCGGCCGTTTCTTCGCTTTGCAATCGCCAGAGTTCTGGGCAAAGGGCATCGAGCAGTTACCCGTGCGTTGGGAACATGTCATAGACAACAATGGTCATTATATTGTAGACTGAAATTGAATTTCAATAAAGGTATTACATTTTGAAAAATTTGCGCAGAGTGTTGCAAGACTTTCTTTCCAACCCAATAGAAACACAGAGTAATCACAAAAATATACCACAAATCTGCAAATCGGAAACATCAGCGAGTCATAACAATGTGGCACCTGAGGAGATCCAAAAAATACAAAAAGAGGAAATTCCTCCACGCATTAATAGGAAAGTGGATATCGATGCCCTCCTCTCTTATCCGGACTACCCCTAAATAAAGATCTTCAACACTATGCACACTAGTAAGAAACATAAAGTCGAATCATTGTCCACTCTACCCCCAGTATGAAACAGTAGAAATAAACAGGTTTACAAGAAATGGCTCGACAGAGAGTGCAGAGAAAATAAAAAAGGAAGTCATGCGAGCACTCCAATTTACCCTATTTGAGCACCAACTCCAGGTCGACTTCAACTGGGTTCGACGCGAGTGCAAGGCCTTCCTCAGGAATGCAAGAGCTCGACAAGATCAAACCCAGCTGCTAAGGAAGATTGAAGAAAGAAACATCACTCCTCGGGCTATCCTCCAAGGAAGAAAAGCTCCACACCTGCTCCAATCGCACAGGAACAATGGGTTGACCACTTGACGAATACCCTAAACCCTCCTTCAGATGCACGACCGATCCATGCCCCTGGGAACCTCTTAGGAAACCTTGACCACAGAGCATGGTACAACCAACCACGCAGGAAATCCTGCGCATGCTTCAACGGATGCCCGACGGGAAAGCACCTGGGTCATCTTCATCACGACTGAAAGGCTCGATCCACATCCTATCAGAGACGAAGTCGAACCTCTACATTGACATCTTGATATCATCAAATTCCCTCCCTGAAAGATCACACGTCTAAAAACTCGATATAAAGGGAAAAGGAAGATCGACGATCCTGATATCCACCGCGGAACATTCCCATTATCAACACCATTCCAGCTCTTAACAGGAATGATTAACCACCGCATAATACATCACATCATATTCCCCCCGGAACAATATGGTTTCAAGAGCGGCCTTACAACCATCCAGCCGAAAAGACTCCTCCCTAACGCCACTGCCAACCAGCTCAATAAGACCGGAGGATCACTCTATGCTGTCTTTGTGGATTTTCGGAAGGTCTTACACAAATGACAGGAGCATTCTAATCGACAAGCTAGAATGTAGGGGAATCAAGGGATGCATCCTCAGCCTCATCCATGACGCCCTGCAGAAAAACTACATAAAGGTAAACTACGATAGCCTGACAGCTCCCAAGGCAATTCCCCAAACACAGGGCGTACTTCAAGGCGAATGCCTAAGTCCATCCTTATTCCTAATATTTGCTAGGGACCTCCTAGCAGCCCTGAAACATGCGGCCTCATCGGTCCACGTCATAATGTATGCAGAGGACCTTGTCATGTCTTCCACGAACCGGGTGGAGCTGCAGAGAACCATCGAAGCACTCAAGATCTTGACTAATGACAACAAAATGACTGTGAACCTGACCAACGCTAAGGCAATAAAATTCCGGAAAGGGGGGCGTCGCTGCAAGGCCGATATACCGTTCATTTTTGGCAATGACCTTATCGGCTTGGAGAAAGCTTTTGACATTGGTGTAATTTGGTTGGAAAATGCTGTTTAAATTCTGTTTACGTTGAATTATGTGACGTGGGGGGCGAACTTCATAGCAGGGTCGGAATTTGTCTCACCTACCCTATCTCTTGCTCAGAGTAATTCATTGCGCTCATGAGGCCTGTTAAGCCTCTACATTTACAAGCATGTTGGGTTAGGTTAAGGGGCAGAAATGCGTATTTTGCTTTCCACCTTGTCATCATAGTTTCCCCTGGGGAGAGAGGGTGCACCTGTATGAGATACAAGGGATCATATTCACAAATAGAAAAATGAAAAAAAAAACTACGAAGAAAGAACTTCGGTTTGTCTACTGTTGAAGCAGAGTCCATTAATGCCCATAAATCTATAGCTGATCGGTGCGAAATGTCGACACCACATTCCTCGTGATGACCATTATATCATCGTAACCACAACAACCAAATCAACTCATCGATTCGGGAATGCCCCATTCCCGAATCGATGAGAGGCAGTAAACTTAGCCAATCTCTAACCTTTTAGTGGATTGCGTTTGATCCACTGAGAGAAAACTCCCTCTCATCGACCACCAAGTTCGGTATTGCAGGGACAGGGACAACGCACAACACAGGACTTACATAATGTTGGGCGAAGAGGGTTTGAAGTCTCCTGTGGATGTCAGGCCACCGAAGTCGGACGTGGTGGAGAGCCTAAGGCCGGTGATCACACTCAGCCGGATCATCCTCTGCTTTCCAAGGCTGAGATGCGATCTCTCGTCCGAGAGATCGGGCCTCATCCCTTTACTGCTCCAGGTTGTCTCCACGATTCTTCTCTTCTCCTCTGCCTTCTGTCAGTGCCCGCTGCAAGCTCCCTGCCTCTGTTTTTCACACTGTTGCAGTGGTGTAAAATCTCAAATACATTTGGTGTGTGTATTTCACTGGTGTTTCCTTGCTGAGGAAAGAGGAAGACAGTTTATTTTTATTTATTTAGCAACATGGCAACTTATTTTTAAATCTGGAATATTTCTAGCTACCTAGCACGTTCGTCGGCTCCATCCTCCAAAAATTTTCAATAACTTTCAATGAAGAAATTGCAAAATATGCAAAGTAACTTCCTAGTGGATCCAGTTTCATTTTTATTTGAGGTCGGTTAGTCAGACTCAGCGAGAAAGAGACGATAAATGTTGTTCCTGGCTTTCCACTTCTTCTTCCGTGCTTCCAAAAGTGATGGAGTGGAATACATGGATTTAATTCCTTAGGAGGTCAATTTTGTCCTTAGCAGGCTAGTGATATGTTATCTAACCAAAACGCCATCTGATGAATCTGTTTCGTGAAAGCCTATATTCAACCTATCTGAATGCTGTCCAGTACCTGAGGCTGTTGATGGAGAGATGTGGAGGTCGGGACATTGCCTTGACCGGAGCAGGACTCTTCTCCCTCACTCGCCCTTTCCTCATATCGGTAGTGTTTTGCTCCCTCCATCACCTCATGTCTACTTTTATCGTGAGTCATAAATTGTCCTTCTGCATTTTTTATGCAGGTATTTGCCGCGGTCTGTACCTTCACCATCGTCTGTGTGCAGCTGGCCGACCAAGCGAAATGTACTGAAAGTAAACGGTAAACAAGGAATGAGAGACAACTCTTAATAAAACCAGGTCATTGAAATAGTATTTTAGTCAAAGAAGTCGAAAAATGGGAAGTTTCGACGCTTTCGACGCTTTCGATCCTTTCTACCCGAATTGTAATAAACGATAAAAAGGGTCTGGCGAAATCAGGAATGTCGTCTCCATCTCTTCGATGAAGTAGAATTTGGTGTGGGTGTTGGTGGAGTTTGACCTCTAGAATGAAAAAGATTATCATAAAAGTCCAATCTAATTTCTTTTTTTAAATAAAATTTCCCGACTGTCAAAGAACTTGAACCCGGAAAACATAGACTATCACCTGATTTTTTCAAGACACATCCCAGCTGCTTTATTCTACGAAATTAGTAAGTTAAACATTTCCTCACCCTGAAATAACATGCTATAATCTCTCACTCAATCGGTGGGTCATCACGATCAATATTTTAGGCGGAAATGCTCAGATATCTTCCACTCCTAGACTCCCATCAGTTCATCTTGTGCACGAGAATATATTCCCGCATTCCTGTTCATCACTTCTATCCCACCTCGCACATAATTCAGATATCCTTTGAATGTATTTGAAAATGTATGACGGATAGCAATCGTCACACATGAATAATAAATAAATACTTTTTACTGGGTAAGGCTAAAAATTTCATGATCACGCCATACTGTCACAAGCATATTTTTCTATTTAGAGTCGTGAGAGATGCAATGCTACCTATTTCCCCTCCTGTTCACCATACGACAACTTTTTATTGACTTTTTCGCTTCGTAAATCCTGTTCCACAGGTTCGCTAGTTTCCTTTCAAAATAAAGAAAGGATAATGTGCACTAATCTTAGATACTATGCCTTCCAATTCATTTGTTTCCATACAGTTACTGCATAGAGGCTTACAGATGCAAGACAGATAACGAATTTTTCTGTGCCACTGGATATAATTCTGAACATACGAGGATTCATAAATCTTTTTGGCTGCAGCTAAATTAAAAACCCACAAATTAGGAAAACATGAAGTAAGTTGGCTTTCTTGGCGAAGTTTCAGCATGAAATTAAATTAAACTTGGCCAAGAAAGCTTTTAGATGTCTGCCACCACTTGAGAAAAGGAAGAACGGCGAATTCCCATGGAAATTCAATGAACGTTCCTTCTTGGTGTTCCTTTCCTATTGACGATGAATAAGATCGAAGATGGCTACGGCAGTGGTGGATCACGCTGGAGCTGGCAGTCCTACTATCTCACCGTTCTACTCTCCTCAACCCCTCCCCCCCCCCCGATATTTGTACTTGTAAATACTTTGCATTTCTAGATATTGGAGATAACGATTTGAAATGCGAAGAATATGTCATCTTTGTACGTCGCTCTAGATGTGGGGTCGTTCTCTTTCTAATAGAATTTCGATTAGGGTGGAAATAGAACGCTTGCTTTTGAAACCTAGCGGTGTTCACGTAGTAAGGATACCCAATAAATTGAAGACTCATCACGCACTTGCTTACTTATAAATTACAGCAGTTATAATCTCCTTAGCCGGTTCAGAATCACTTGCTGAAAGAATAAAACGTAATCTTGTTGGCGTCGCGAATCCTTTGCACGGCAGCATCGGTTTTTAGAATATCCCTGCGCGAGAGGTGGGTCATTGGGACTCAATCGAGCGTCAAACGTATCCGAGAAAATGAAAATTGACGACCTTGCGGCAACGAAGAAGTCCACATCCTCGTAGTAGGACATCACTTGCTTATATCGTTTCTGCACGGTTACGAAGCACTTTTCAGTAAAGGTAGGTCTAGGTACTCAGTTCTTGGCACCCAGTGGTGGAATATCACCTGGATGAAAAAATCCACATGCATCAATTTATTTATTGTGGCAATAACTTAAGTCTCTTTTGAAAGCCTGTATACACTTTTAGACGTTTCTTGTACTTACTTCAGCATTTTGGTCCGGAAATGCTGTCCGAAGTGCTAAATCGAGAGCATACGAGGAGCGACAAAAAAGTTCCGAGTCTGTCAAGATGACAAAAATTATTGTAATCAAGATTCGCAATGCTTCATCAAGTTTTGTTAAACCGAGGAATACAGCTGCAGTGATCTTTTGCAAGAAGTATATTGAAAAGTTGCCTAGTCATACTTCAAGAATTTTGAATGGTTTACAAGGCTTCCAACAAATGGAAAATACTTCACTCCACTTCAAGCCCAGCCACCCAAGGATGACCGCACCAGTCATCATTTTCAATGTATTTTCTACTATGAATATTATGAGATAGAATGAGCTAATGAATAATTTCCGCACCAGCCACTGAGTTGGCGGCCATTTTCATAAGTTCCTAAATAGTCTAAATATGTGTGGGCTCATACATCGAGCGAAGTCTTGCAAGAATGATGTGCTCATCTCAACTTGATGGAGTACAGCAACAGAAAAAGTGGCTAAAGTAAACATAACCTATTCGGTATTATAGTCTATCCGGTCCAACCTTGCTACACTTTTAATCCTAAAAGAGGTCATTAAATACGATTTTTCTTCCTCTTCCTTCAGGGGAGAGGGTAACTTGACCCCTCCGCCAGACAGTGACGTACCGCTGTTCCGGGGGGGGGGGGGGGGGGGGGGGGGGGGGGGGGGGGGGGGGGCAGGCATCAGGTAGGGTTAAGCAGCAAAACCCGAACACCTGAAGGTTGAGTCGAATATACGCTATGGCGGTCATGTCCATCATATTGTTTGTGCATTCGACTCAACCTTCAGGGGTTCAGGTTTCGCTGTTTTCCGCAATATATTTTTTAACCCATAAAGTACCAAGTCTCGAAGTTTCGCGTGTTATACGCTTAGGGTCAAATTTGACCCAGCTTGGTCGTTTAAGGGTTAAAATTTATGGGGTAAAAGGTCTAGATAAGATGCCTGACGAGTGCCGTGAGCACATACGTCCGTAACTGATGACCTCCGAGCCCCTTTCCGACGTTTTCACAGGCTGGTGACAGCACAAAATGTATGAGCCACCATAAAACAGACAATGCCCGTGTAGCAAAGTTGGACTGGATAGACAATAACTCCAACGTAGTCGCACTCCTCAGCTGAACGAAGTGGAGTAACAATGAGGGATGCTGAATAAAAAATGATGGAGCTTTACACACTTCAGCCAGAATAAAGATGTATACGAGGAACGAGGTCGCCTGAACACCAGGCCAGAACTATAATTGTGGAGAACCTTTCCCGCGGTTGGCAGCCTCACCGGGCTTTTCTTCCTAGCACTCATCGTCTTCACACGTGAGGAATTCAGTTCACATATTCCAGATTGGCGCGGGTTAAACAGATCTGATTTGATTACTTCGATTCCAAATCAATTTCTCGGTGTGAACCTCAACATTATACGATCAAAATATGAAATCAAGTCGAATTTACCCGTACTCAACGAATCATTCTATTATGAGAGGACCGTACGGAGAATAATGCTATCGCATCGTATCTTCCAGGATGATGGGAAGTCTAACTCCGCTTGGAATACGAATGAGAATCGACCTCCATGCTCGGACTTGGAATTAGGGTTGAAGCCATGTATAGGATTTGGGAAGTTGCTGTTCGCCTTCCCCGGAATTCCATTCAATTTGGATGGCGAGTGGGGAGGACGGGGAACCTGGCTCTTCAGTCTCCTGGGCACGCTCATCTTCGGGTTCTCCTTTCTCGTCGTTTCCCTCGCTCAGTACATCCCGTTATCACGGAATTCCTGTTCAGGGACGCCTGGATGACATCTTCGGCTTCACAACGTATAACTTCTACAGTCTTTTCATCGCATGCTTCTTCTACGTATCGGAGTGCAAGACCAACGATCTTCGAAGTCTGGTGCAGTCGCATCGGAATTTGGAAGCAGAAATTGCTGCTTTCGGTCTCCATTCTCGACCTTCACTTGTATAGTAACTTAGGTATGCATTCTTGCTGCACCGTTTGTTCTCATTCGTTATGTTAATCTGCAGATGAAGGCCGTGAGTATTTCCATATGTACATACTTCGTAGGGTATATGCTCATATGCCTGTTGTGGACCGGCTTGGAGCAAGTCACAAAAAACGGGCAATTGGTACCCTCTCCATTTACATAACAACGAATTTGGTAAAGTAATCTTCTCTGCATTTAGAGTTTAAAATACCTAGCAACATGTGAAATATTGGCATTTATACATTACTGGTGCCTAGGGTTGCCCACCTGGATGTCCATAGCAACGTATTTTTTGGATCGTTACTTTCTTGGCCATCATTGGGTCCTGTCATCTATATTCATTTTTCTTCTTTCCTTCCCCCTATTCATCAAGATTCGACAATACAACTCCATCCTCATGAGCGAAAAGATGTCCCCCCAAAAAGTTGGAATATTTCTCACATATCTTTGAATATAGATATTTTCGTTGGAATCGTCACATTCGCCCTACTCTCTCTATTCAGGCATACACCATGTACCTGGAGCTGATGGAGTGATAGACATGACCCAGGATTTGTTGTCTCTGTTGATCCTCTTCTTTTACCCAGATGCCATCTCTAATCTCATCGACCACATCCTCCGCATTGTCTGCATTCAACATCCTCATCCTCGGAATGTGTTTAAACTGCTTTTTCTGACAAGTCGGATCCTAATTGTAACCTACGGTTTGGTGGAGGTCAGCGAAGAGGCCCATCGACCTGTTCCTTGGATCTATTCTCGGCTCAAGCATGATCCCAACAATCCAGTAAGATTTCTAGACTACCATTCACACTCGTACTTGCATAGCAAGTTAAAACTTGAAACCTATTAAATTATTAGCATTTGCGACTTCTGGTGGAGAAGCTGCAGGCGTCAAGGATCGCCTTCTGCGGCGCTGGAATCTTTTATACTACCCGGTCTTTATTTGCAATGGTTTGCCTCTCATAACATGGTCTCCTTCTATCTGGCTGGCCCTGAAGGAAATATCAAAGAATACCATTCATACTTTCCGTATTCTGTTTCAGGTTTTCGGAATCATTTGCACCTTTACCATCGTGGGCATCCAGTTCAAGCCTCCTGTTTGAGAGAACTCTATCATTTCTGTATCTGTATACGTACTTCACTGTATTTATGTATTAACTGGGATGAAATATGTTCACGATTGATTGGTTAACTCTTATAGAAGTGGCATTGAGAAGCACATTAATAGAATGAATCTTTTGCCAAAATTAGAGGCTAGGCCTGAATGGTACTAAATTCACAAAAATCTCAATCCTGCAGGTTCGCAATCCAAAGGCATGTATAAACATCTCTCATTTTCGTATTAGATTTGATTCATCTCTATATGATCAATATATATGAAAATCTGATGTATACCCAACGCATGAGTTCCCTTTGGAATATACGTTCTTGAGGGCTGCCCCCTTTTTTCTGGAAACCTTCGCGACCTTATGCCCTCATATGCCCTGAGGGCAAAAGGGGGGAGCCTTTCCTTTCGCATTCTATGGCCCGCGTAAAGAGCCATACATTTCTATGCGGCCCACTGCTGATAAAGGTTGCACACCCCTGATTTAACCTTTTCGGGGGGAGTTTTAAACCGCGCGCTGCCCTCCCAGCAAGTATTAATAGTTTTCTTTTCCGAGCGCGTGCGTCAGGTCGTGCCGTTATTGAATGTATCCAATTTTCTGCTAGAATTTAATTGAAATTAATGTTTTTCACAATCTCAATGGCCTACTGAAGAGTTAGTAAAATTTGTAAGCACAAATTTGAGTTACCGGGGGAAATTTTACACTTAAACGCTGAAGCCTCATTTAGCAAACGGCATTTAAAGAATACATAGATTCCTATGGGAAAAAAAGGATCTCCATAGCTTAAAGGCTCTTTTATCTCCCCAAAAAGGAAAATTGAGCATTCGGGCCTGAGGGTCTAAAAGCGCTTCAGCACATGATATTCCTGAAAGCACGGCACGATGCGAAGTGCAACGCCGCACTCCAGGCACAAATAACGTGAGGACTTAGGGTGGATTTTTGAAGAGAACTATCCGATAATGCAGCTTTATTCCAGAGAAAATACATTATATTTCCTGGAAATAAAGCTGCATTATCCGATAATTCTCTGTTCAAAAATCCACATTTAGACTTTTATTTTCCCTCCGTTTCGTGTGGCTGCAAACGTGACATCGGCGTACGGCATTCGTCCTGTAGGCAGTAACAAAGTAGACTTCTTTCTTTGGGGCTACATCAAAGAAGATTAGTCTACAGTACAAAAGGAAAATCAACAACTTCAATGAGTTGCGTGAACGGATTATGGCAGCAGTGTTCACGCCCAACGTGTTAGAAAACGTATGAAATGAATTTGAATACAGACAGGAGGTTTCCCGCGTAACAGTGAACACATAGAGATGCATTAAATCAGGAATCAATCTAAGAGAACGAACTAATAGAATGAAATTAATGTCCTGCTTCTGTGTCTACGTTTGTCTCATTGCTGAGTTGTATTAATATACCACATATAATATAACGCACATTTCTCGTACACCCAGTATGATTTTTTTCATTAACATTTTGCTACGGGTTGCATCCATTATTCTGGCGGATAAGCCTTGTAATTCATCTTCCTTGCCGTTTCAGCAAACACTTGGATGCGGAAAAAAAAACCACCATTAACACATCAATCGAAGAAATAGAATTCCTAGGCTCGTAAATGAAACACTCCAAGGAGAAAAAGGCAAATAACGCTTATAAGGGATGAGATACGGGGAGGATTCATTTTTGCACCGAAGAGAAACACGGAGAAAATTTCGTTATTGCAACAGGCCCAAGGCGATCCTGAACCCCTGCAACAGGACCCAAAGCGCCGAAAATGTTATAAGGGGTCAGCGTCCGATTGATGCAGAATGGGAAACACGCGCATCCCCCCTCATTCCGGCGAAAAAAAACATCCCCAAGCGAAGACCCCACAACTGGGGAGGAGAAACAGGGCAGAAAAGGTCCTGGAGGAAAGCGGAGGCAGTGCTGGGTAGGCTGAGACTGAGCGGAGCAAACGGGAGACACGATTTATACAGGGATGTAACCATAGGTTTTTATCCCTTTGGTTTTCTCCAATCTTTTCCTTGTGAGATGTATTATGTGAGAATTATGATCGGCCTATCGGGATCGACCGATCGCAATCGGATGAGAGTAGCAGAGTAGGCCTAAATCGCGGAATTTAACGGGGAATTTCGGCAACTTTTAAGGTTCAAAGAAGAGGCTATCAAGTATGTTTTTTCACGCGAATGTCACTACCGGAGAATGGAAAAGGATGAATCGGCGCAATCGGATACAAGTCCCAGAAAGGGACTGAATAGAGGAATTTCCGCCACTTTCAAAGTTTAAGACAGAGGTTTGCAAACTGGTGTTTTCACAAGAATGTCACTATCCGAGAATTGGAAACGATGAATCCCACCAATTGGATACGAGTCGCAGAACGTGACTCAATCCCGGAATTTCCGCCACTTTCAAAGTTTAAGGCAGAAGGTTCCTAGTATGTTTTTCTACACTAATGTCACTATCAGAGAATGGGAAAACATGAATCGCCGCAATCGGATACGAGTCGCAGAATATGCCTAAATCGCGGTATTTCCGCCAAATTGAAAGTTCAAGGCAAAAGTTTTCAAGTATGTTTTTCTACACCAATGTCACAATCGGAGAATGGAAAAACATGAATGACTCCAATCGGATACGAGTCGCAGAACGTGACTCACTCGCGGAATTTAGGCCAAATTCAAAGTTCAAAGGAAGGGGCTTCCAAAAAGATTTCTGGACTAGAATGTCACTATCGGAGAATGGCAAACGATGAATCGCTGCAATCTGATACGAGTCGCAAAAAATACCGAAATCTGGGAATTTCCGCCACTTTGAAAGTTCAAGGCAGAAGTTTCCAAATACGTTTTTCTACACTATTGTCACTATCGGAGAAGGAAAAACATGAATCGCCGCAATCGGACAAGAGTCGCAGAAATGCCTAAATCGGGGAATTTCCGCCACTTTTAAATTTAAAGTTCAAGGCTGAAGTTTCCATGTATGTTTTTCTACAGGAATGTCACTATCGAAGAAGGGAAAAAAATGAAACGCCGCAATCGGAAAAGAGTCGCAGAACGTGTCTCATTCGCGGAATTTCCGCCACTTTGAAAGTTCAAAGGAGAAGTTTCCAAGAATGTCTTTCTACACTATTGTCACTATCGGAGAAGGGAAAAACATGAATCGCTGCAATCGGACACGAATCGCAGAACATGCCTAAATCGCGGAATTTAGGCCAAATTCAAAGTTTAAATGAAGGGGCTTCCAAAAAGATTTCTGGGCTAGAATGTCACAATCGGAGAATGGGAAACGATGAATCGCCGCAATCGTATACGAGTCGCAGAACGTGACTCAATCGCGGAATTTCCGCCACTTTCAAAGTTCAAAGTAGAAGTTTCCTAGTATGTTTTTCAACACTAATGTCACTATCGGAGAATGGAAAAACATGAATCGCTGCAATCGGATACGAGTCGCAGAACGTGACTCAATCGCGGAATTTAGGCCAAATTCAAAGTTCAAGGAAGGGGCTTACAAAAAATTTCTGGACAAGAATGTCACTATTGCAGAATGGAAAAACATGAATCGCTGCAATCGAATAAAAGCCGCAGAACGTGACTCAATCGCGGAATTTCCGCCACTATCAAAGTTCAAGGCAGAAGGTTCCAAGTATGTTTTCCCACGAAAATGTCACTATTGCAGAATGGAAAAACATGAATCGCTGCAATCGGATACGAGTCGCAGAAATGCCTAAATCGGGGAATTTCCGCCACTTTCAAAGTTCAAGGCTGAAGTTTCCATGTATGTTTGTCTACAGGAATGTCACTATCGAAGAAGGGAAAAAAATGAATCGCCGCAATCGGAAAAGAGTCGCAGAACGTGTCTCATTTGCGGAATTTCCGCGACTTTTAAAGTTTAAGGCAGAAGGTTCCAAGTAAGTTTTTCCACGAGAATGTCACAATCGGAGAATAGAAAAACATGAATGACTCCAATCGGATACGAGTCGCAGAACATGCCGAAATCTGGGAATTTCATCCTCTTCTCCCATTGGGATAGAGGAGTTTCTCTCTTTCCTCGAAGAAGTTAAATATTCAAGGAATCCTGGCCTTGCTGCCCAGAAATATTCAGATAACGTCACTGGGATTATTGCCATGATAGATGCCTTGCGCAAATCCTCCACTGACAAGAAACTCCTAGCGCGCCTGAAAGGGCTCAGGAAAAAACTAAAGAAACCGGTTGAAATCCCTTGAAATCTCCTTAATAGTAGAAAGTAGAAACTCACCCGCAAGTGAAACATATAATCTAAATGGACATTTGTAGTTGGAATGCTCGAGGCATTTCATGTACCCCTTCAAAATTTAAAAAACTCACCTTCTTACATCAGTTTCCTTTCCACTTGATTCTAATACAAGAGACAAACCTCCATGACTCAGGCCGACTCCTCCTTGATGAATGGGGCCTGAAGGGTATCGCTAGCTCTGGTTCTTCGACTCGTGGAGGAATTCTCACTGCTTTCAAAAAGTCCTCCTCTCTCTCTCTTATTTCTTATTCTGACCTGGTGAAAGGTCACCTTCTGCGTGTCGACTTTTCCTGGGAGGATTCTCTTTTAATATGTTACAATGTGTATATGCCTCAACTAGATGAACTAGCTTTACATGTAATAGCCACTTTAGAACATGATTTTTCTTCTCACCCCTTAGATGTTCATATCATCATTGGAGGAGATTTCAATTGTACTCTTAACCCTGATCTCGACAGGGCTAACTGTAGAGAATATCGCCTTAATCTACAAAGAAAATTACGAATTTTCGTGGAATCTAGTCACTTAACTGATGCTTGGCGCGATTTTTATCCATCTGAACATTGTTTTACTTACACCGGTGCTCAAACAAACCACCCACAAGCGCGTTTAGATCGTTTTTATGTTAACGGGATGATTTTAGCTAAGCTAAAAAACCCATCTATCATTCCGTGTCATCTGCTCTCTGATCATGCCATCATATGCATGTCTCTGTCATCTCCCTGCTCTT